CCAGTAATGATCTATACATCTTGATTATATGTTTGATCTACTTCAGATTGAAGAAGTTGATAGAATTCTTCTACTTCATCCTCACTGGCTTTAGTGGTTGGTGCGTACATTTGAATAATAGTGGTATTAACTGGGCTTCCCTATAGGCGCATGGATATTATCCTATCACAGACAGCATTGTACCTCCATCACTCATCTGGATATGTTCTTTTTGACAATGAATGCAACACCATCCCTCTTCAATTTGTCATTTCCAGCATAGTAAATCATGTAGTTGTCAGATTCAAAATGGCCAATACCAGTCCATTTTAGCTCACTAATGCCTAAGATATCAATGTTTAAATTAGTCATTCACAAAAGAAGAAATACTACATAGAACCACTACTGTAAAAGACTAAGAAAAGGAACATATTAAAGAAGGTAGTGTGGGGGCGATTCTTTGCTGGTTACCAGGATGTTGGGGTGAGGGGAAGGAGGGGAAGGTGGAGCACACGGTAGGAAATAGACACAGGATAGTTTGGGTGCTAGGGAGGGGGACAGTACACAAGAATGGGGAGGGGAATGGAAGAACAAGGCAGACGGGAAAACAATTAGGCAGGTTTGCATGGACTAAGTGGGACAGAGATAAATAATGATGTATGCACAACCTTTGAACAACAGGGCCCTGGGATACAGGGATTAAGACATGGTTGGAATGGGCAAAAGGGGGTAAATAATGTTAAGATGCTTGGCTCTTTTGAATCCTGGTTTCCCTGGCATACCATTATAAAATAGACACTTGACAGGGAGAGAAAGGAATAGACAGAAACATCATCATAGAAAGCTTGTAAGTCCTTCTTCTGTCTATAACTGATCAGAATACCTAAAATGGGGCTACAACGTGCCCAGTGAAGGAGGCTTCCTGCGGAGCCTCTGCATTACATAAAACTATAGGTGGAATCCCGAACCCCATCCAGAATCTTCTGAGGTGAGAAATTTCTACTTGAAAGGACAAGCAGATCAGCCTGGAGCGGCTAGAAAAAACAGAAGATATTTCTTGAAAGAAAGACAGA